TAACACGGTGAAACCCCGTCTCTACTAAAAAATACAAAAAATTAGCTAGGCGTGGTGGTGGGTGCCGTAGTCTCAGCTACTCGGGAGGCTGAGACAGGAGAATGGCTTGAACCCGGGAGGCGGAGCTTGCAGTGAGCTGATATTGCGCCACTGCACTCCAGCCTGGTCAATAGAGCGAGACTCCATGTCAAAAAAAAAAAAAGCCAGATTAAGGATCATAGGGTTAAGGTCCAGATAGATGGGGCCTCATCTGGAAGGTGGGGGATTCCCTGAAGGGTTTTGGCTGGTTGTGTTGGGTTGTTTGCTCCAGCATCTACAAAAGCACCCCTAGTCTGTGTCCATGTGGTTTAGATGGGGCTGGGCTTGCACTCCCTCCATACACATACTCCACACGCTACCTAGAGTGAGAGAGCCAGGTGGGAATGTTACAAGTGACAGAATGGTCCTCCCACTAACTTAGAAGGTGTTCAAAGGATATGGAGGAGCTTTGGGGTCTTAGTTGTGGACCCCATTCTCATCAGGGCACACCCACCAGAACTAAGATGCTAGAGCCATTTGGTTTTGCCTCTTTGAGCCCAGTCGCAAACTCAAGGAGTCTGAGTGGCCAGGCTGGATACCTGCCTGCTGTGCACTGAGGGAGGAGGGCACTTGGGTGCACAGGCTCACCAGGATGGCACCCATGGGGCAGTGATTCCCCCGTTGAAATCAGGGTGCCTGTATCCAAAGAAAAGGGAATGGGTACTGGGAGGCCACTCCCTTTGCATAAGGAATTCGTATCCTCTCCCTTAACACATAGGCACTTAGACTGGTTCACTGGTAGAGACTCAGCCCAAATGAGTCCAAAAACAATCATTTGTGGAGTTGTTTGCTTGTATTTTGCTCAAATGATGGGGAAGGAATTGGGGTTCCCTTTCCTCCAGGGATAGATGGCAGGATATGAGCCTAGGGCTGTTGGGGTTGTCCTTGCTACCCTTTGGGGAGAGCTTGCCTGAGAGTGATGCAAACATAGAAGCACATAAGCACATACGTGCCTGACACCACTGCGGGAACACTTGGAAGCAACTGTGACCAAAGCTAGAATCTACCCTAGGGCCTTCTCTCTCTCTCTCCTCTTTTTTTTTTTTTTTTTTTGAGACAGCGGTCTCATCCATCTAGGCTGAGTGCCAGTGGCGTGATCCTCAACTCCATGCAACTATCTGCCTCCTGGGTTCAAGTGAATTCTCCAAAGCTGCGCACCAGGGTAGCTTTTTTTTTTTTTTTTTTTTTTTTTTTTTGTATTTTTTGGTAGAGACGGGATAGAGCTCAAACCTATTTGTTTGGGGGTTCTGTCACTTGCGACCCCAAATGTTCCAGCTAATATGGTGGTGGAGGGGTTTTGGGAAAATCACCTTAAGTGCAGTAGAGAAGTTGGACGAGAGACAGCCCAGTTAAGAGGCCGATGGACAGCCAACTTCAGAGTGGCCTCTGCAAGCTTGGACCTCGGGGTAGACAGTGGTGCGCTCTCTAGGGGTCATCTGCTCCCTGGTGGGGTCGGGGGGAGGCATGTCCACGGAGGTCAGGGCTATGGATTCGGCACTAGGTCCACCTCCCCATGCTGCTTGCTAGTAGGCATGTGGTGGTGCACACCTGCTGGGCACCTAGCAGGAGGGGTCATGAGTTGGTAAGGAGCCACATTAGGGTGCCTGCCTGCTCAGGGCTCCTGCCCACTGCGTGTGCGCAGCGCCTGTCAGGATGTGACAGGGACCTGGACATATGTGTGCTCTCCGAGGTGAGCTGTGTACGCGTCGGGGTTCTCGACCTCAGCTTCCTGGCTGTGCATCCAGCGTACACGACCGGTGTGGCCTGGGCTCCAGCCTAGCGTGTGGACTGGGTCGGCCGGCGCGTGCCTCCCGTGAGGGTGCCCTGGCGGGTGTGAGCCCGGCGGGCTGGAGAGCCGGGTCTCGGCGCCGCAGGTGGGTGTCCGTCCTCCCCCTCCTTCCCTCCGGGGGCAGCCTCCTCGCGGCGTGTGGCTGGGGGTGGGGGGCCCTCTGCCGGCTGCCGCGCGCGCGCACGTCGGGCTCAGCACCCGCCGTGTACGCGCCCGTGCGCGCGCCCCGCGACTCCAGCCCAGCGCTCGGAGCCGCTTTCGCTGCCACTGTCTGCTCCCCCGGGCCGCCGCCGCCGCCGCTTCCCCCCGCAGGCCCGGGGCTCTGTCCGCTGGGCCCGCGCTGCTCGCCCCGAGCCAGGAGAACGAGCTCGAGGAGGATGCCTGGGCCCGTGAGTACCGCGGCGGCTGCGGGCCGGGCGGGCACGGAGCGCGGGCGGAAGATGGTCCCAGGACTGAGCCCTTCCCCGCGGGCGGCTCTGCGCCCTGGCCCCGGGTCGCCGCCCCGGACCCCTACCCGGCCACCCCTCCCCCAGTCCACACAGGAGGGAGGGAGAGCGCCAGTGAGCGAGGGAGCCGGAACGGGGCGCGAGCCGCCACCAGTTCGCTTGGAAACGGTTGCCACAGCAACGGGGTTGCGCTCCCCGGCAACACGACTGCGGGGTGGCGACGCCCCTCCCCCACCCTCCCCCTCCCCCCACGCGGGCCCACAGCTCGGGGGCGCAGGGGGAGAGGGGTGCGCAGCGGGGGCATGTCGTCCCTCTGGCCCGGCTGGGTGTGCCTGCCTCCACAGCCCATCGAGGGTGGGGGTGGGGGCGAACGGCTGTGGGCACGAGCTGGCTCCCACGTGGCTGCAGTCGTCGCAGCAGGGCTCCTGGGGTGGCTGCAAACGTGGGGGCGGCCCAGCCCCTGGGCTTGTCACGGGAGGAGGAGGCATGGAGGCTGGGGCTGGGGTCTTTGCCCATAGACCCCCCAACCATCCACCGCCGCCACCCCCCCCCAGGGCCTAATCGCGCCGGCCCTGGACATGGCCTGAGCCGAGCTGGGTTCCCCAGGGGCGACGTTTCTTACCAGGGTAGAGGAGCGAAGCTTGCATCCCTCCTCCTCACGGCCGGGGCACGTGTCAAACCGGGCATGGGCCCGCGGTGAGTCTCTGCTCCGTGTTCCTAGCCACCATTCTCCAGGGAGGGGTGGAAGCAGAGTGGGCAAGAGCAGAGGAAAGGACATTGCTGACCCAGGGAAGCTGAAGCCCAGGCCAAATGGGATCGACCCAGCCCATTGTCTGGATCACAAGTACCCCTTTCTTGTATGAGCACAATGCCCCAACTGTACTGAGTGGCATGCAGGTTGGCCGGCAGGGAGGCCCGCGCCACATGGAGGTGCCTGGTCCTCCAGGGGAGCTCCTCTGGGAGGAGAGTGGCCTCTGACTCAGAGGAAATGACCTCTGGCTCCCCTCCCAACCTCCCCTCAGCGGGCATCATGCTGGAGAGAGAAATGGCCCTCCTGCCAGCTCTCCCAGGCCTGACTCAGCAGATGCCAGCCCCGACCGCGGGCTTCAGATCCAGGATCCCAGTGACCACAACAGCCCTTGGGTTTCCCATCCGGGGAGGCCTCCTAGAGGTGACTGACATCTGGGGCATTTGAGGCCTTGGTATAAGATGCCCTTAGATGGGTGGTGCCCTGGAGGTCAGGCCTGAGTCTCCTGCAGGCAGGGGCGCCTGGGGAATGACTCACAGGTAGCTTTCATTCCCTTCCTGCTCTGTGAGAGCTGTGTTGAGTGCTCTGCATCCATTATCTCCTAATTTTTTTACAACAGTTGCTCAAGGTAAGTTTGTTATCCCCATTTTAGAGATGAAGACTCTAAAGGGAGGCTCAGGGAGGTGAGTGACTTGCCCAAGGTCATACTAGCAGTAAGTGGCAGAGCTGAGTCCACAGTGCAGGCTTCTCTGCGGGCAGAGCTCCTCTCTGCCTGCCATCTAACTTCTCTTGTAACCCTGGCAGAAGAGAACAGTAGAGCCTTCTAGAGGAGCATTCTTAACCTTCCTTCACTTTCCTCCAGTGAGGACATTCCCCATCTTTCAGGTCTTGGTACATTTTTCCTTCTTCCAGCAAAATCAGCCAAATTCTTGCTCCCCCAGATGCATTATAGGATGGGGCTAGCTTTCTTCCTCCCTTCTTCACTTCCTCCCTGCCTCCATTTTCTCCCTCTGGGTGAGACCAAGCAGCAAAGGGCTGCCTCAGTCCCCTGGGAAAACCCCAAGCCCTGACCCTAGGCTCATGGGCTCCGGGGCCTGCTCAGCTTGCAGTCTTGGCTGTGGGAGAGAAAATTTAGCAAAGATGGGCCCGTGCAGTGCTGCTGCCTGTGGGTGCTCAGTCTAGCTCCAGGCATTGGAAACCCAAATGCTTCCAAGGATCAGGGGGGAAATGGAATGAGTGAGGCGGGCCAGGGAGCCGCTCAGCTCCGATCTTTGTCACTGTGTGAAATGTGGTCTTGGTATGACCTGACTGTCCAATTTTCAAGATGAACCAGAAATCTAGACCTTTATATAAAATCTCCTGGATTTTTAAATGTTGGCAATTAATCGGAATGTTTTTAAAAATGGATTGTGAGCATGGATTGTTTTTAAAACATGTCTGTGAACTGTGTCCAACCTAAGGGTCCTGTGTCTGAGACCTCTGGCCTGTGGGAAAGGGACAGCAGTTTTTGCTGGGCCACCTGCAGGGGCTGCTTTCTGTATTTGAGCCTCTTGAGGCTGCAGGGTGATCCCTCATCAGAGGGAGTTCTGTTCTCCCCTCGGCACCCTTGTCCTACTGCTGAAGAAACTCCAGCTCAGGTATGGGAGTAGCCAGGATGGGATCACATGGCTCAGAGAGGGCGGAAGCCAAATATGAGCTCAGGGCTACCCCTCGGCACCCTGCATGTTACCCAGGCTGCCTCCCACCAGGGTATCACCATCATGCCCATGTGGCCTCCTCCCCTGGAGGGTCAGATCATTATTTCTATGCTAGCTGCGGGGATGAAGGCACAGAGAGCCGCAGGCTGAGGTTTCAGTGGAGGAACCTGGTCTCTGAAAACCCTGCCCTGAAGAGGGCCGGAGCTGTAGACACTGGCCTGAGTGAGGGCTCTCCACCTACAGGCCCGCCGGGGCCTCAGTCTCCGTGGTCCTATTTGTAGTTTCCCAAGCCCTGGCTTCCTGGCTTGGTGTCAGGGTTAGGTCATCTACCTGCAAGCAAGGGTGCCACTCAGTACCCTGGCCTAGGTGGAGGGCCGTTTTGGCCAGCTCCAAGCCTGGCTGACTGGGAGTGCAGACAAGTCCTGTCAAGTCGTCTCTGGCCTCAGTTCCTCTGTGTTGGTGTGGGAGGGGTGTAAGGGTGTTACCAGTGGCTCCCTGAAATGCCCTTCCTGCCGGGACCAGGGACTTTGTCATCACCTGAGCTTCACATCACCTGGCTATGGAGATCTGAGCTGGACCCACTCCTTGAGCCTACATCCTTGTCTGTAGAGAGAACAGTAGCCACCTCCTGGTTTTTCCTTAGATAACTAGCATAGAGACCAGTAGTGGACCTGGCATGTGCAAGGCGCACAGGACAGGCTGTCAGTCTGTCCTGCCCCCTAGCCCTCACCCTCTGCTCTGCGTTCCTGTCCCTTCCCTTGAAGACCAGCAGCTCTAGCCTCAAATCCAGGTGGGACCCAGCACCCCTGCTGCCCGGGATTTCCCATCCCTGCCCCCCAGAACCCTGGTGTGTGGCTCCGTACAGCCTTTTCCTTTGATTCATGTAGACGCATGGGTTCTCCACTTGCTTATAAACCACCCTGCCAAGCCAGGGCTGGGTGATGGCTTTTCTCTCTGTGACATTTTGGTGAATGGCTGACATTTCCCAGGAATGAATTGGACATAGACCCAGCCCTTAAGGTACTCCCAGTCCCACAGCTAAAAGACCAAACACGTAACGAGCCCTCCAGCCTCTCCTTCCATAGGTGGTTCTTGAGCTGCTTACTGGGTGCCAGCTGGTAAGACCGATGGTGCTGGACCCTGGCCGCCCCGGAACATCCTGGTATCATTGGGCTTCCCATCCCTGAGGGGTGAGGTGGCTCAGGTGAGCCTAAGAGGCCTTGGCAGGAGCTCATCCAGGAGGCCAGCACCTAGGTCAGTGGCTCTCAGAGTGGGTTCCCCGGCTCTGCAGTACCAGCATCTGCTGGGAATTTGTGAAAAATGCAAACTCGGGCCCCATCCTAGACCTACTGAATCCAGCACTGGGAGTGGAGCCCAACACTGTTTTAACAGCCTCCACGTGGTTCTGATGCTTGCTTAAGTTTGAGAGGCCCGGATCTAAGCCATGTTAAATGTTAAATGCTAGATTGGCTCCTGAGGCAGCGTGGTGTTATGAAGAGTGACTAGGCTGGGCAGGGGCACAGCACAGTGGCAAGCATGGTGATGGGGGCCAGGGGAGAGACGATGTTGGCCTGGCCAAGGCAGTGGCAGGAGGACCAAAGGAAGTGGACAGATGCCACCCTGCAGAGGATGCGGTGGATGGAAGGAATGGTAGGCTCTTTGCTGAGATAAAGGACCCAGTGGCAGATCTTTGGTGCTTTGGTGTGTAAGGCTGAAGTGTAGGGTTCTTTGTTCAGAGGGCAGTGTGGGAGGTGCCCACAGCAATGCAGCCAGGCCCTGGTTCTGTGTGCCCTTGGGTGTCATTTCATCTCCTTGAGCCAAGTGTTCCCATCTGCCAAATGACAAGAATGCTAGCCTGCTTCGAAGAGGGTGGTGCCCAGCTCTCAGGCAGGGAGCACCCTGGGGACACACACATCTCTGTATCCTCAGCTCAGAAGCCACCATCAGAGCTAATGTTCGTTGGCACCTCCACACCCTTGGCATGGATTAGCTTCATCTTCACCGATGAGGAAACTGAAGCAACTTAGAGGTTAAGAAACTCACCAAGGGTCTTGCTTTCATCCCCCTGCCGTGCTCCCAGTGAGTGTGTGGCCCAAGAAAACATGCAGAGCGATATGGTTCAAAAACACTACAGATAAATCAAGATGGAACCGTAAAACATGTTCAAATAACCTTCAAGAAAGTAGGAAAAGAGAAACAGGAAACAAACAGAACATGAGTAATAAAATGATAAAATGGCAGACCAGTCTGTCTGCAGGGCATCGTTCCTAGCACCTGAATGTGTTGGGTGGGTAGGAGGAGGCAGGTATGTGCTACTACCAGTCTGGAGCAGTGTGGACAGTGGAGGGAGTGACTGGGAGAAGCAGGCTGCAGGCAGGGTCTGAGTCTGAAAGGCTCCCAGACAAGGGCAAGAGCTCACATAGGAAAGGAGCAGTAAGGGGGCATGCTTTTTTCAGGAGGCTTTGCAAAGTCTGGCCTGGTCAGGTAGAGCATTTTGAAAGGTCTGAATGAACCTCTGATGTTTATGTATTGAGCACCTATGGTCGGTTAGTGAGAGTCTACTGAGCACCTGGGAGGGAGGCGTCAGACAGGATTCCAGTCCCGTGGGCCTGCTGTGACACTGCCAAGGGGATAGTGTTCAGCGTCAAATCCCCACCCACTCTACCTGGGGGCAGAGCCAGGCTGGGGCCATGGGGCTAGCGATGTGACCTTAAGCAAGTGCCTTCCTCTTGCTCTTTGGCCCAAAGTTGCCTAGTCTATAAAATGCAGCTATGATGGCACCCAGCAGGTCCTGGGCATGGCCTGCCCTGTCTGGCCTAATGCCCTACCTGCTGAGCTGGGTGCCCTCAGGGCGCAGACCCTGTCTTTTGTCTCTTGCTAACCTGGAGCTGCCATTACATCTCTCCTTCATCCTGTAGCTCTTTCTCATGCTGCTATTCCACAGCAGCGTCAGGCTGGTGATCAGGCATGCCAGGGCCCTGGTGGGAAGGGATGGGAATGCACATTTTGGCTGCTAGCTGGCCTGTCTGCCCAGTGCCCCCATGGCTGCCACTTACATCTGGCTTATCACATAGGGAGTGTTTTGACAGAGTTTGGATTCAGACTCAGGCTAAATCCTAGCTCCTCCCCTTCTGAGCTGTGTAACCTGGGGCAAGTCATTTCCCTCTCTGAGCCTATCTCCCTGTCTATCAAATGGGCACAACCAGCATGGACAAGGTGGTGTTGAGAGGATTCTGTGTGGTCCTTGACAGATATTTGTAATTCAGCTAAACCCCATCACCTCCAGCCCCAGGGTTACCTTTTCTGACCCGGAGCTGTTCCTGCCTGGCAGGCCAGGGGGACCTCTAGTTAGTGCCAGTTTCCTCAGAGCATTCCTGATGGCTCAGGAAAAGAATAACAGATGTAATTAACTCCCAGTGACTGGCAGCATCGTGTTTTTATCTGGGCTGCGTCACCATGGCAGCCTCATGGCAGGGTTGTCGAGGGGGCGGGCAGAGCTATGGTTCCTGCCATTGTCTGTTCTGGAACGCAGGCCCAGGAGAAGGGGACCGGCACGGGCACCAAGTGGCACGTGGCTGAAGGCAGCCATGGAGTCAGGGGCCATCTGGGGAGAAGTGTGGGGTGGCCCATGGCCTGGCTTCCCCCCAGCTTGGGGCTCAGGCTCCCTGTGGCTCTCAAAGCAGAGTGTGTGTGTGCCTTGGGCATGCTGAGGGTAGGAGGGTCTGTGGGGCTCCTGGAAGAGGCCCACAAAGTAGCCCAGGCAGCACTACCCCCCACCCCACCCAGGCTAGGGTTTTGTGGCCAGGCCTGAGTTCAAATTATGGTTCCACCACCTGCCATCTACACAGCCAGTTTTCCCCAACTGCTCATCTGTAAAATAGGAATCATTCCAGTTACCCGAAGGCTTTCGTTCAAACCTGTGTGTATAAGGCATTCAGGAAAGGCTCAGTTCTATTCTGTGGGGGCGGTGAGCAGTCACCTGCCACCTTTCACTCAGAGTCAGGGCTCCCTCCTACCTCCCTCTTAGGGTGCAAGGTTCCCCCTCTCGCCCGCGTTTGTGGAGGGGAGGAAGCGGAACTAGAGATGCCCATCTGGCGTGAGTGCAGGACCAGGTGGGTACGACAGACTAGCTTCCGACCCTCATCTACTTTTCCTCCCCTCCGCGAGAGGGAGAGGGAGACGGCGGCCTGGAGACAGAGGCAGAGCCAAGTGGGGCTGTGCAACGGTAGGAGGCGGGGAAGCGGAGCTGGAGCAGGCAGGGCGCCTGGAGGAAAGGAAGAGAGAGACTGGCCCACGCTCGGCACAGCGCGCTAGGCGCAAAGGCAGGGCCGGTGGCACGCAGTACTGGCACGCATTACCAGTCGGAGCCACCCGCCTGAGCCCTACAATGGGAGCGGCGGAGACCCGGAGGGCGCGGTGCAGGGCCAGTTATTCCGGGCTTTGGGCAGCCAGGGGCTACCAGGCGTCTGTACAGGGCGCCGGGTGGCTGTCTGTGGGGCTCCAGGAGATATACCACCCTTTCCCCGCCGCACAGCAACCGCGTCGAGACGCCTCTTCAGGGACCTGGTGCGCACAGGCTCCTGAAACCTTTCGCAGCTGGGGTACCTTTGCCCCAGGGACTGTGGATGGCGAATCTCTCGTCCGAGCTGGAGTCCGGCCTTCGCGCGCCCCCTGCTGGCCCGCCTCGGCTCCCCTCGGCGCCCGGGCTCCGCGGCGGCGGCCGGGGCTCAGATCGGGGAAACCCTACCGGGGAAACCTCGAGGCGTGACGTCACCCTCCTCGGTGACGTCACCGGCCCCCCGGGGAGAGCGGGGTTCCCACGGAGAAGGCTTTCCCCGGACTGCGCAGGGCGCGGGCGGGGGCCGGGAAGTCGTTGGGGGCCGCGGCGCGCCTTCACTGCGCCCCGTGTCTGCCCCACAGGTCCCGCGCGGCCCCGGGTGAGGCACGCCCGCGCGCCCGCCGGCGCCATGGGAAGGAGCGGGCGCCGCTGCTGTGCCCCGCCGGCGCGCGCACGACTTGAGACCTGCCACGGGCAGCCCCCGGCCGCGGGTCCCCGAGTGACGCTGGCGGCACCTGAGAGTGTGGCGCGGGCCCGGGGCCACGCAGAGGAGCCCAGTGTCCAGTGAAGCGGCTGAGGACCCGCCGCCCGTGCCGCCGCCATGGTGATGTCCCAGGGCACCTACACGTTCCTCACGTGCTTCGCCGGCTTTTGGCTCATCTGGGGTCTCATCGTCCTGCTCTGCTGCTTCTGCAGCTTCCTGCGCCGCCGCCTCAAACGGCGCCAGGAGGAGCGACTGCGCGAGCAGAACCTGCGCGCCCTAGAGCTGGAGCCCCTCGAACTCGAGGGCAGTCTGGCCGGGAGCCCCCCGGGCCTGGCGCCGCCGCAGCCACCGCCGCACCGCAGTCGCCTGGAGGCGCCGGCGCACGCGCACTCGCATCCGCACGTGCACGTGCACCCGCTGCTGCACCACGGGCCCGCGCAGCCGCACGCGCACCCGCATCCACACCCACACTCGCACCACCACGCGCTCCCGCACCCGCCGCCTCCGCACCTGTCGGTGCCGCCACGGCCCTGGAGCTACCCGCGCCAAGGTGAGTACCGACCTCCGCCAGGGGGCGATCCGGGCCGCCGGGAGTGGGCGGGCGTTGGAGGGCTCGCTGCTTACCCGCGGGGTTTCCACCCGCAGCCTCCGGGAAAACACGGGCAGCGGCGGGCTCGGGCTGGGGCTGGGGCTGGAGCTGGGGCGCGGGCGGCCCCTGGCTGGGGACCTCTGCGAGAGGCTGGGAACCGGCGGCCTCACCCCCTCCGACCGCCTCCCACTCCGCAGCGGAATCGGACATGTCCAAGCCACCGTGTTACGAAGAGGCGGTGCTGATGGCCGAGCCGCCGCCGCCCTACAGCGAGGTGCTCACGGACACGCGCGGCCTCTACCGCAAGATCGTCACGCCCTTCCTGAGCCGCCGCGACAGCGCGGAAAAACAGGAGCAGCCGCCTCCCAGCTACAAGCCGCTCTTCCTGGACCGGGGCTACAACTCCGCGCTGCACCTGCCCAGCGCCCCTCGGCCCGCGCCGCCCTGCCCAGCCCTCTGCCTGCAGGCCGACCGTGGCCGCCGGGTCTTCCCCAGCTGGACCGACTCAGAGCTCAGCAGCCGCGAGCCACTGGAGCACGGAGCTTGGCGTCTGCCGGTCTCTATCCCCTTGTTCGGGAGGACTACAGCCGTATAGAGGGGCGCCCGGCGCCCCGGGCCCCACCGGCGGACTCCTGGCCTGACTGCGGGGCTTTTTAAATGCTTCCCTGGACTGCGGGGAGGGGCGGGGGGAGGGAGGGATTTCTTATCCCGTTTGTTACATTTTGAGGATAATAAAGGTGTGTGATCTGGTTTGGTACATGCGGAGGGTGCACCCGCTGCTTTCGCCCAGGGTTCTGGTGACCAGACAAGCCGGGACCTTGGCAGGACGGACCCTGAACGTGCGTTTCCGCCACAATAGAGCCTAAGGGTACAGAACTGAGATCAACCACCTCAGTTCCAGGCGGCTTCCCCTGGGAGCCTCAGCCCCCAGCACCGCCCCCCGGTCCCGGCGGGTCTTGGAATTAGGGTGAGGACGCCCCCTGGTGGCAAGGAGGTGCTGCGGCCTCGGAGATGGGAGGAGTTGGGAACCTGGGTCAGGGCAGGCGGCAGCCCAAAGGGATCTGGATTTCTTTATTAACAGACATGAGCACGACCCGTTACAGAAGTTTGTGCTTTCCAAAAAAAAACAGTTACTGAACGTGAAAAAGGAACCCAAGCAAAGAGGAAGGAGTTGGGGAGGGGCCACCAAAGCCCCTGGGCCCCATCCATAGCCCTGACCTGAACCGCGCCTAGGGCCTCCAGCCTGGGACCTGCCCGGCAGGAGAGGGGGGGGGGCAGCCGAGGGGCCCCAGCTGGGCCTGCTACTTCCTTTGGGCCAGACAAGAAGGGGTCAAAAGAAGGGCGGGGAGGGGGTCCCAGGGAGCCAGAGCCCACGAGCCATTTATTGCCATGTTTTAAAATTCGTGCAAAATATCTGAAGCCCTGGACAGAGAATACAAAGTGATATTTTTCCAAGAAACATAAAACTAGGAAAAGAGGTGGGAGACATTTTCCCACCAGAGCTCCCCGAACGCCAGGCCCCAAGCAGGGTGAGGCCTCCACCCCGGCCAGCTGAGCAGGGAGGACTAAGAGCTACAATCTGGACCAGGGAAGGAGGGGTGGAATTTGCAACAGCGTCTCAACTACCAACGGGAGGAAAACCAGTCAACTGTACAAGTCTCCTATCAACTTTTAAAAAAAAGAGAAAAGCTGTAAAAGTCAGGCCCTGTGGGTAGGGAAGCGGCCAAGTCCCCAGCCAGGGCCGGAATCCAGAGTGGGTGCCAGGCGGAGCTGCTGCGAATGCAGGCACGGCGGGCCGTCTGGCCAGAGGCCGATGCAGGTGGGCGGCCTTGGCAAGGGTAGCCTAGGGTTGGCGCCACCACTAATCACCACCCTCGAAGCCCTCCTCCTCTTCTGGAACTGGGTCTGCATCCCAGCATGTGATGTCGATTTCTGAGGCGTTAGAAAGGGAGAGGAGTTAAGGACCTAGCAGACCCATACTTGTGTCCCCAGCCTCTGTGAGCGGTGGGCAGTGGTGGGGTGGCTACCCACACTCAAATCCAGCCCCCACACCCAAATTCCTCCCCATAATCCAGCCCAGTACTACCTGGAGGCTTGTTGTAGAACACAGGAGGTGGAGCCTTGGCACAGAGCTCTTCCGATTGGGCAAACTCCTCCTCCTGTGATTGACTGAAGTACCCCTCACTGGCCTGCAGGTGAAAGCATTAGGTCACTTGGCCCCACTCAGCCGGACTGGGGCTTACCTATCAGGCCTGAGCCCGTTTCCCCAGCAACCAGTGAGTCCATCAGTGGTTGCCAGGGAAACACGGATGCCTGCCTTGGGAACAAAAGCAGAGCTGGCCCACAGAGGCGGGGTGGGATGGACTTCCCCTCCAATAATGTGGGTCACAGAGAAAGGGGGTACTGGTGCAAGCATGAGGAATGCAGGGCCAGCACCCTGCTCAGCCCCCACTCCCTCCCATCCCTCCCACCAGGCAGTCCCTGCCGCACCTGGGTCCCCTCCTTCTGGGTGGTCTCGCCATTGGTTAGCAGGTGGGGCTCTGGCTCCTGCTCTTGCTCCAGCTCCTCAAGGGCTGAGGGCAGAGTTGGGGTCTGGGGGGCAGCCAGGGGCTCCCCTTCTACTTCCTCTGGGTCACAGAAGGTGGCTGGCGGCTCAGGCAGCTCATCAAAGTTGAGAAGGGTGGCACAGCCTTCGCCTGCTGGCGGCAGTGGCTCCGGAGCCACCTCGTCCAGCAGGGGCACCTCTGCCAGGGTGACCTCAGTACCCGAGGGTGGCGTGGGGGCCCTGGGCTCACCCTGGAGTGTGGAGGCCCCTTCCCCATTGCCAGGCCATAGGTCAATGAGGCTGGTGGCAGCGGGGGGCACGTTGTTGGCAACAGTGGTGTCTGCAGTGGCAGTGTCGGTTTCAATGGCGTCAGCTGCATCGTGGACCTCGGTGGCGTCAGCTGTGGCAGGCTCCACAGGAGCAGCCAGGACAGCCTGCTCTGCAGACTCCATGAACATCAAGTCCTCTGCAGGGCTGCCTGGCCCCCGGGGAGGCGCCTGTGCCTGAGGGGGCTCCTCCATGGGGCCAGCCCAGGCCTGAGGGGCTGCTGCTCTGGTCTCCTCACTGTCCAGAATGGGGCTGGGCTCCTGGGTCTCTGTCACAGCACAGGCAGAGGAGACATGCAACCGGCTCCCCTGGGGGAGGATGGAGACCCTGCCCACCCACTAACGAGTGAGAGCGCCGGGGACTTCCATGCAGGTGGCCCACTGCCCCCTTACCCAGTGACCCCAGTGACTTTAAGCCCCTTGGCAGCTCTGGGAAGGCCCAATTCCCACTTGAGAGGGCAGGTGCTAAGCTTTAGAGAGGGCAGGTCTGACTGTACACCAGGGCTCCTCCCCCAGCAGCCGCCTCCAGGGCAGTGCAGTCTTGGAGATGGGTGGCCCAGATCCCTGGAGAACGGTTACCATGGCAACCTGGGGCTCCCAGCCAAGGACTGATGATGGGAGGCCTGGTGCAGGTAGGATCCCTCTCTCACCTTGGGCTGGTGGGGGTGGCGGTGGCAGCGGTGGAGGCTGCGAGGATGTGACCTCATCCAGGGCCCGCTCTATCTGCTCAGCAACAGGGGTGGAGGCGGTGCTGGAGTCAGACGGGCTCCGCGTGGGGATAGGAGTGGGCGCCATCCTCCGGTGGCTGTCCAGGTGGCTGCCTGTGGAACAAACCCCAGGTGGGTCAGTGAGGGCGGGGGAGCGGGGTGAGACAGGATTGTCCTCCTTGGGGCCTGGCCAGCACCTCCTCTCTGGAGTCTGGGTGGGGGCTGGGAGCTCCCCAGCCCCCGCAGGGGCCAGACTACAGCTCCAGACCCTGTAAGCTAGGCCCCTGGGGGCCAGTGCCCCACAAGGCCAGGGGCAAGAGGCAGGCAGTGCCTGCCCTGGGGACAAACGCCAGAGATCAGCGGTCAGGCTGGGGGAGTGAGGGCGGGGGGCTGCTGGGAAGCGGGGCCCTCCTTACCACCCCCGCCGAGGCCTGGGGCTGCTACCTACATGGGAGGGAGGAAGAGAGGTTTGGGGTGCGGTGACAGGTGATATAGGGAAAGGGAGTCCGTGGAGGGGAGGAGGAGGAAGAGGAGGAGGAGGAAGGCCCACTGTCCGATGCCTTTATGAAAGGGCAGTACGGACGACCTGCCGAGAGAGACAGACAGAGAAAGAGACAGAGGACAAGAGAGGGTCAGTCTCCCCCACCCCTGCCCGAGGCCTCTCCCGCCCCCAGGGCTGGCCCTGGATGTCCAAGCTGCCTTCAGCCAGGGGCACACTCAGCCAAGCCAGCCACAGCCTCACACCAGCCCCAGACACACAGCCAGCCTGGGAGCAGTACAGCAGACAGGGCCTGTGGCAGGACCCCAGCACGGGGCAAGCACACTCAGACCAGCAGACAGGGCAGGGAAGAGCTTCAGGGCAGGCAGAAGCAGCACAGTGAGAAGCGGCACGGGGACACCTGGGTGCAAGCTCCAGGAGGCTCACTCAGGCCGGGGACAAGAGCCCAGCCCGCATGCATCCCGGCCTTCCAGGCCAGGCCTAATTCACCCCAGCCGAGCAGCTCCCCGCGGCCAGCGCTGTGCCTCGGCCCATGCCAGAGCTACCCCACAGGCTCTAGCACTCCCCACTGTTCAGCCACAAGCGACTTCACCACCATCCCTGGCCCTTCTTGGGGTCCTGCCACCTGGGAAGTGGTGGGCGGATGCACGCTGGATGAAGGTCTCGCCTTCTCCAAGGGTTCCTTGGGCAAGGCTTCCCTTCCAAGAGAGTCCCAGAGAGGCTCAGGGCCGTAACCTAAGGAGTGGGGCCAGGTGGGGGTGAGGCCTAGGACTACCTGGTCGATGGTTGAAGGGCGAGGGCACATCACAGCTGCCTGCAGAGGCTGATGCGACTCTTTCCTGCTGCTTGAAGAACTCCCGTGGGTTGTCAGGTCGCTGGGCAATAATGGCCGCTGCCTCCTGAGGGCACAAGGAAAAGGTTGGGGCTCGGCCAGGCAAGCTGAGGTAGCCCTGTCCGCCTCACCTGGCTGGTGCGCCAGCTCTCACCTCCACCTCCGACTCTGACTTCTTCATGTGAGTCTCTTCCTCCTCATCCCGATGGTCACCCTAGAAACAAAGGGACAGTGTCTGGTGCACCTACCCCCACAGGGGCTCTTGGCCTTCTTTTTTACTGTATTTTATTTATTCATTTTGTTTTTAAGACAGGTTCTCGCCCTGTCACCCAGGCTGGAGAGCAGTGGTGCAGTCGCGGCTCACTGCAGCCTCTGCCTCCTGGGCTCAAGCAATCCTCCCACCTCAGCCTCCCGAGTAGCTGGGACTACAGGTGTGCACCACCATGCCTGGCTAATTTTAATTTTTTTGTAGAGATGGGGGTCTCCCTATGTTGCCCAGGCTGGTCTCAACAAACTTCTAGGCTGAAGGGATCCTCCTGCCTTGGCCTGCCGAAGGGTTGGGATGGATTACAGTCATGAGCCACCAGTGCTCAGCCTTCTGGCCTTCTTACAGCCCCCATGCTTCTTTCACAATCTGGCAGGAAGGGTCTCAGAGGTGGTACCTCTGCCCCTTTTGAGTCACACAGTCCCTCTCTTCCCTCAGGGCCCTCGGCCACCTAATCTCTAACCTGCCAGGCCTCTGGGCACCAGGCTCACTCACCCGCTTGCTCATCCCCATATCTAAGCAAGTGCCTAGGGCCATCCAGGAGTGCTCCTTGTTTTGCAGATAACCTTTCTCGGACCTCCTACCCTAGCGCCGGGGCCACCATGCTGCCAATGTTGCTGCCTGGACCGTGGCATCACGGCCCATCCTTCCTCACTGCTACCTGCCTTATTTGCTCTCCATAGGCCCTGAAAGGACCTTTCCAAAATGCGGATCAGACCATGATTTTTCTGAGCTTAAAATCTCTCAGGGGTTCCCATAAGCCACAGCAAGCACTGGCTAAATATGACCCACAGATGGCTTTTGTTTTGCTGGTATGATATTTTTAAACCATGTTAATTAGTTGCCACCACTTAAAAACCAGGAACTTTCATACTGAAATCAGGGTCCCAGTTTCTCTTGAGGTGCCAGAGCCCTGGCGACATCACCTGCAAGCTCCAGAGCAGCCATCACCCGGGCCTCGCCGCAGCCCCCTTAAGACAGGCTTGTGCCGCCCGCTTGCTCCCAGCCCCACCATCGCCTACTGGCTTCACCTGCCCACTGCACGCACTGTTTTGGGTAGGCAGGGCCCTCGCTTGGCCTACGTCCCCCACCCCTGCCTGACCTAGCCATCACCTCTCTAATACCACCCCCTGCCGGCCCCCACCCCACAGCGCCCACATACTGTGAGATGTAGACATCAAGTCCTCAGCACGACACAGTCAGTTCCCAGAACAGGCACACCCATTCCCACCTCCAAGCCTCAGCACGGGAGATCAGCCCCTCTCCCAAATGCCTGCTCCCGACCCGGGGGCCAGGCCCTCTGGTTTCCAGCTGCAGCATGACCACTGCTTCCTGGGGAAGAGGTCCCTGGCTTGCTCAGGTCATTTTCTCCTCTGGGTGTTCCTGGCTTCCACCACGATGACACCACATCCTTAAGTTCCTATTTCCGGAGGCACCTCCCTCTCCGCTGTGAGCGACACAGGATGAGGACTGGGGTCTGCGGGTGGGTGGCCAGTACAAGGCGGGTGCATGTTTGCTCAACTGCACTCATACACCTAAGGCTTCTTAGTCAGTGTCCCCTGCTGCTCAGGTGGCAGCTTGGACAGGAGGGGCTGCTAAGGTGGTGAAGTCCCAGGGCAGCTCTGCTTTTGAGCCTACAATCTAGAATTTTAGCTTATCTATCAGGGGCACTGGGAGAAGGGCCCTTCGTAGTATCCCACCCTCAGGAGGGCTGTCACCTCAACGATAACTTTGTGACCCCCAGAATGAAGTCTAAACTCCTCCTCTGCCCTTGCTCCCCTTTCCCAATCAAATTTCCCCCCCTCCTCAGCCCACGGAGTTCCAGACAGCCCAGGCTCTTCGCCTTCCCATGAGCCTGTGTCCCACCAGCCTTTGCTGCTCTGCCCCTTGCCTGCTGTAATCTCACTTGGTTCCTCTGCCTTGTTCAAAGTAAGGACCAGGGGTAGCTACCACAAAGGCTTTTTTTGTTTGTTTGTTTGAGACGGAGTCTCGCTTTGTCGCCGGGGCTGGAGTGCAGTGGCGCGATCTCAGCTCACTGCAAGCTCCGCCTCCCGGGTTCACGCCATTCTCCTGCCTCAGCCCCCTGAGTAGCTGGGACTACAGGCGCCCGCCACCGCGCCCGGCTAATTTCTTGTATTTTTTAGTAGAGACAGGGTTTCACTGTATTACCCAGGAGGGTCTCGATCTCCTGACCTCATGATCCACCCGTCTCGGCCTCCCAAAGTGCTGAGATTACAGGCGTGAGCCACCGCGCCCGACCCACCACAAAGACTTTAACTACCAACCATGTGAACAACACTGAAACAATCAAGGCCCAGAGGAAGGAAAGAGACCAACGCACTAACCACACAGGTCAAAGCCACTGCTGTGCCTAAAGCATTTTCAGATATACGGGAGCTCCCCTGCAGGCCAGGCAAAAAGGGAACCCAGATATGGCACACAATTAGTAACAGGGGAGAGAAAGCAGACAGCTCCTTAAGCCAAGAGAAAGCATTTTATAGTGCTAAATCCCAAAGTCTCTCACACGTGCCCTTCCTTAGAGAACCTGAAGTTGCAAGGGAACCACACTGACCTGCTAGAATGTCCACTGCCACTCTCAGGTGGACTATACTTGAAGGGCCAGATGGGACTATAAAATAATGGTAAGCTCCTTCAGACTTTACCTGAAATGTTGATAACTGGTGAAAATAAATCAGGGGGTTCACAACACTGCTCTGTCTACCTGCATGTCTGTATGTTTGAAATGTCAGCATAAAAATAAACTTTATCGGGGCCGGGCGCGGTGCACTTTGGGAGGCCGAGGTGGGAGGATCACCTGAGGTCAGGAGTTTGAGACCAGCCTGGCCAACGTGGTGAAAACCCATCTCTACTAAAAATACAAAAATTACCCAGGCGTGGTGGTGGGTGCCTGTAATCCCAGCTACTTGGGAGGCTGAGGCAGGAGAATCACTTGAACCCAGGAGGCAGAGGGTACATCGCTCTCTACAGCAGCGGTTTCACCATGTTGGCCGGAGATAGTTCGATCTCTTCGTCCTCGGGAATCCACCCACACTGGCCTCACCCAAGTGCTGGACTACAGGCGTGAGCCACTTGCTCCAGCCAAGTCTAATAAATACAAATATTTTATTATTTTTAATTTTTTTGAAACGGAGGCTTCACTCTGTCGCCCCAGGCTGGAGGCAGTGCACCGATCTCCAGCTCCTGCCAACATCTGCCTCCCTGGGCTTCAAGCGATCCTCTTCGCCCCACCTCCTGAAGTAGCCTGCGGATTACAGGCAATGCACTCCCCATTGCCCAGCTACATTTCTTGTATTTTTGCGCGTAGCCAGACAGGTTTCACCATGTTGGTCGGCGCTGGTCCCTGGAAGCTACCCCTGACCTCGTGATCCACTGCCTCAGCCCTCCCGAAGTCCTGAACTTACAGGCCGTGAGCCACTGTGGACCCTGCCCGATAAAGTTATTTATTTTTTAAAATTTATTTTATTGATTTATTTATATTTTGAGATGAAGTCCCACGCTTGATCCCCCAGGCATGATGCA